ATGTCCAGATCTGGAACCATATCCTTGTGATAAGTCCAAATCCGAGTATGACACCCTTTTTGGCACCAAAAGTGACCATTTACTTCCAAGAAAAGAGATCTAAGCAACTAAAGATCAAGATAGTGACTTATACCTCAAGATGGTTGCCAATACAAAGTAGATGTCGGATCTACTGCTTCTCTCCTTGCTCCTTCTTCTTCAAGCTCCAAAATCCTTCACAACCACACCAAAATCACTCTCAAAAGTTCTCTCTTTCGCTCAAGAAGGTGCAAGGCTCAAACTAGGGTTTCTCTGGCTGTAGGAACGATGGAAGAGGCTACAAATGAGCCATAAGTTCTTTAAATAGGGTACAAACCCCTGAAAATTAGGGTTTCTCTTTACAGTGCCTACTCGTCGAGTCGGGCCTTCCGACTTGTCGAGTAGATCTGAAGTCCCGCGTCCTCATAATAACCTCTACTCGACGAGTTGGAGCTCCCCAACTCGTCGAGTCCCAGCACAAAACCCTAAAACTTATAAAATTAAATAATATGTGGAACAGGTGTTACAGTCAAAGGTCAAGGTCAACAGTCCATGTTGACCCAACATGCCGTGTTTTCTTGTAAAAACGCCGTGTTCCGTCAGCAACCAGGCGGTCAAGGAAACCTCAGCCGACACGCCGTGTTGTCTTGCAAACACGTCGTGTTTACCCGAGTTCCAACAACTTAATACATTCAGCTGCTTTCTTCGATTCCAAGAGCTCTAAAGCCCAGATCTAGTCTAAAATGCTATTAAGAAGGACAAAGTTTCCAACTTTATCCATTGGGACTACTCAAAGGGTCCAAAAAAAACCAACCACAGAGCTTGAAGATACAAGGGCTTAACCAATAAGCACTTAATCCTTGAAGTCTGAAACCCATCTTTTCCACAAGAGATTCTAGCACCAAAACCATCCCAATGGTCGGTGCTTTATAAACATACATGTCCAATGCATGTCTTGAACCTATATTAGGTCAAAATGGGGATTTATGACTTAATCTCTATGTATGGCATCAAAACTCAACTATAGGCCAGATCCAAGACTCTACTAGGTCACCTAGACCTGGAGATTCATAAAGTTGCAAACTTTATGAGATCTAACCATCCCAACTTTCAAGAACAATAAGTTAAAGGGACAAAACTCAAGATATAGCAACATTGAAGAATAAAAATCGGATCTTGGGCACTTACAAGGGTCCAGAAGAGTACCAAACTAAAAGATGAGGGCTTGCTTATTGGATCCTTGCTTCCTTCTTCCAACTTCTTCCTTCTTTGGCTTCAAAGACACCACACTAGCTCACAAATGAGAGGGAGAGATGATTAGGGTTTTCAAGGGTCGATTTGGGGGAATTGGAGGCTGATAAAAGGCCAACTCTTGGGACTTAAGGAGATTATATAGGGTGCAAAACCCTAAAAATTAAGGTTTTCTCAACCAGCCGCCAACACGCCATGTTTACACACCAATACGCCGTGTTGGTCCATGAAAACACGCGGCCAAAAAGTTCTCAACACGCCGTGGTGAGGCTTCACCACGCTGTGTTCCAAAGGAAGGTCATGCATAAATGGAAATTGTTTCATACCTGAAAATTGGGGTGTTACAATTCTCCCCCACTTGGACTAGACTTCGTCCTAGAAGTCTACTGCGGTAAATAACTCGGGATAATGCTCCCGCATCTCCGCCTCCGGCTCCCACGTCTACTCGGAGCCCCTCCGGCGCTGCCACCGTACCTTTACCAAAGGTACTTCCTTACTACGTAAAAATTTTACCTTCCTTTCCAGGATAGCTACCGGCCTCTCAACCGGGGTATGGCATCACCACGAACTCGTAATGCCCATAACGAGTCCGGAACACGGTCTTATCCATGCCATCCTCTCTCACTCTGACCTGACGATACCCGGACCTCAGATCTATGTTGGAGAACCAAGATGCACCCTGTAACTGATCAAAGAGGTCATCAATCCACAGAAGGGGATAACGGTTCTTCACCGTTAGCTTGTTCAACTCCTGGTAATCAATACACATCCGATGTGAACCATCCTTCTTCTTGACGAACAAAATCGACGCTCCCCACGGAGAACTGCTCGGACTGATGAACTGCTTGCCTAGTAGCTCCTGCAGCTGAGATGACAACTCCTGCATCTCAGGCGGTGCCAAGCAGTACAACCCCTTGGCAATCGGGGCCGCACCTGGCACAAGGTCGGTCCTGAAATCGACCTGCTTCTTGGGAGGCACACCGGGTAACTCCTCCGAAAACACACTTGCAAACTCCCTGACAACCGGGACCTCTGAAACTGAAGTCTGATCCCCAACCCGCGTATCTACCACATAAGCCAAGTATCCCATACACCCATGATGAATATACTGTCGAGCCCTGGCTGCAGAACAAAACCCCAAACCCATCCTGGTGCCCTCTCTATAGATAACCAGTTCTCCCCCACTTGGGGTTCGAACTACCACGCGATGACCCTCACAATCAATCATAGCCCCGAACCGGCTCAGCCAATCCATACCCACAATCACGCAAACATCCCCCATGGGAATAGGGATCCGATCGATCGGATAAGGCACCCCGAAGATCTCTAGAACACAACCCGAATACACTGATGAAGCAGAAACCCCGTGTTCGTTGGCGATAGAGACCCTCAAAGGACACTCTAACTCCGCAATGGGCATATCAAACTCCCCACTGAACGATGTAAATACAAAAGACCGACTCGCACCCGAGTAAAAAAACACTAGAGCAGGCAAGGAGTTCACTAGGAACGTACCTAACAGAAGCACATATATAAGCATAACAAAAAAACATAATCAATAAGATACCGGATAGAAACATACCAGTCACAACATCTGGAGCTGCTCTGGCCTCCTCGACAAAGAGCTGAAAAGCACGACCTCGAGCCCTCAGGGGCTCTGCCCTCCCCTGGTGCCCATCTGTGATCCTCAAAGTAGCTGGCCCCGGGGCCTGCGCTGGCTTGGCGGCGAGCAAAGGACAGTTGACCTTCATATGACCAACCTGATCACAATGATAGCAGATCCTTGTACTCGAAGCTGGGACCAACTTGCGGCAATCCCTCGCATAGTGGCCCTCCTTGCCACATTTTTGGCACACATTACCTGATCGAAAGGCCCCCTCATGAACCTTGCCGCACTTCCCACAAGTGTGGCCCCTCTGTCCTCCAGTCCTAAAATTAAAGGCCTTGAACCGCTTCGGCGCTGGCTGCGACTGCCCCGGGGCCGGTCTCTGCTCCATCGTCTGCAACTCCAACTCAATCTCACGCCGTCGGGCGGACTCCTGCATATCCAACAAGGTATCATAGCGCTAGGTGGAAACAAACTGTCGGATGTCCGTCTTGAGCATACTCAAGTAACGGGTCATCTGAGCCTGCTCAGAAGCATACTCAGGGAAAAACATGGACCTCTCTGTAAACATCCTGGTGATCTCTGTACTAGCCATAAGACCAATATTGCAAAAGATTTTGATTAAAGAGGGTTAAAAAGGAAACTTACAAAAATCCGAATGTTACATATAATCACAACAACATATAATACTCGTACGCTTGAACTAAGGGTGAAACCGGGTCCAAACCCGACCCAAATGGACCCGGAACCGGAAACCAAAAAACCAAAAAACGAGATTTAATTGAACCAAAGCCGAAGCGGCATATAGGAACCGATTTCAGGTATGGGACCGGTTAAAGTGTGTCTAAAATCGAAAAACCAGGTACTTTTTATATATTAGGGTGGATTCAACATAAAATCAAAATAATTTATAAAACCACATGAAAATGATCATTGTTCACAACTAAACATATATAACTTTTGACATGCATGAGAGCTACAAGATTAAACAATATTTTGGATTTTTCGATGACCATGACTTCTTGTTTTTGTTCTCAAATGTCTTGAAAACAAAACCAAAAAGTTTAAAATGGTTTGGTTTGATAAAGAAAGGAGGAAATTAGTGGAATTGATCATGATTTCTTGTTTTTGAGATGTCCGAGATCTAGCAACAATTTATTTGTTTTTGATGTCCATCTCCTGAATTTATATGTTATAACTTGGACTTCAAATTTCATTTCTTCTTCATTATTTTGGTTTTTCTTCTTTTGTAACCAAATCAACGACGACTTGTCTTAGACTAGAATGGTCTTGCTGATCAACAATGAGTAGGTTTGGAATCAGGGCCGGTCCAAACGTATATGGGGCTCGGGACGAAAAAAAGGGCTCCTTAAAGACAAATATAATAAATGTTAAAAAAATATCATTTATTCTTCACTATAAACGCGTTCAATTAGTAATACCAAGCAAACCAAATTGTTTATCTTTTGAGCTAGTTTGAGTTTAAACCAACTTTAAGCTCTAAAAATCATTTAGGTAATTTTTTTTTTTATGTATGCACTACATAGCCCATAAATTTTGGGGGCCCTGGAGACGTGGGCCCTGGGCGGTCGCCCGGGTTGCCCACTGTTTGGACCGGCCCTGTTTGGAATATCTAGAAGGTTTTCCAATGGTCTCCATCAGTGGTGATCTCGGCTACAATTCGGGTTTAGCATGGAGAGCGGTGGATGAAGGAATGAGTCGGTTGATATAGAGGTTGGGTGTGTGGGGTATGGTGAAGAGTATTCGACTATGTAAAGATGCAAGAATGGTTGAAGGATCACTCGAACCACATAATTTTTATTCAACTTTTTAGTTTAACTTTCTATCTGTTTTGACCGGTTTCCGAGTTTTATTAAGGTGAGTTTCGCAAGAGATGGGACGGGGACTCATGAGATACATCATTGCAAACAACATTCAACGTCTTTTTTTTAATCGATTATAGTTCTACTTGAAAACATAAATAAAAAAAACCCAAATATGACGGATGAGATGAGATAGATGATAATTTTTGATTTTTTATGGGTTTAGGGATAAAAATAATGAAACAAAATGAGAGAAAAAAAAAGTGATATGGGTGATACGTGATAGGATCATAGGAAGGATGAGAAAGATAACCTCAGATCGGATCGGGTCAAGATTTATAGCATTGCGATTTCGACCAAAGTCAAGTCACAAAGGGCCCTTTCCTCTCTCTCGTAACACGAAACACGAAGATATCCCCTTCCCTCCCTTTCCCTTTCACCTCTTTCTCCTTCAATTTTTTCTGCACCAACGATGAACAACGGACCAGGTCTTTTCTCCGACATCGGCAAGAAAGCCAAAGGTAATTTCAATCCAATTCAATTCACAATCGATCTTCCTTTATTCTCGTAAACATACTCTGGATTAAGTCTGAATCATCAAAATTTCCACCTATTCTTGTTTTATGTATAGATCTGCTGACGAGAGACTACCTGTCGGATCAGAAGTTCTCTGTTTCAACCACCAGTGTTACCGGAGTGGTATGTGATTATGCAGCATATGCAATCTCTTCATTTCTCTTGATGCGCGTTATTTTATGAAATTTGACTCATCAATTTGGTCCTAGGGTCTCTCTGTGGACAGTGTTTACATTTAAAAATTATTACGCAAGTTGTTTCGTTTGTTGTCAGATTCGTTACCTTGGATGTTAACCACTGGCACTGGCTTGTTGCTTTAATTTTAAGCTCTAGTAACTTGCAATGATCTGTGTCTATGTTCTATAGAATGTGATCTTAATGGACATCCAGATAACGAGATTCAGAGAGACTAAATGGCATAGGTCACCCAAACACTTTATCTTCCATTTCATATCTAAGTTCTGATGTATTAGAAGCCTAAAATGCCATAGTTGTCAAATCATGAAATTCGAAACCCTGAATCATGCTTTATCTTGTAATTTAGATGTAAATTCTATTACCAATGACAACTCTTTTGAGAACCTTTGAACATCTAGATAGTTATCTGTTGAACCATAAATCATATGTTCAAGTGTATACACATATCAATCTGCTGTGTTACTTGATTCCAGGGACTTACTTCAACTGCAACAAAGAAAGGTGGTCTGTCAAGTGGAGATGTGGGAGCAATATACAAATACAAGAACACGTTAATTGATGTCAAATTCGACACACAATCAAATGTATGCTTCTTACTTCTTACTTCTTACTTTTCTGATCTAATTCTCTCATATACAATGCATCATAATCTTCATTATTACACTGAATACTGCAGATTGCTACAACATTAACATTCACTGAGCTTGTGCCCTCAACAAAGACTATTGCTTCATTCAAACTCCCTGATTTTACATCTGGCAAGGTACAATGACTACATTCATTATCTGTTTATCATTTCTTGATCTAATATTAGGGTTTTGACTTTTGACTTTCTTTTTTTCCTCACAGCTTGAGGTTCAGTACTTCCATTACCATGCTACTTTAACATCTGCAGTTGCTTTGACTCAAGCCCCAAATGTTGACCTTTCAGCTACAATTGGCACACCAACATTTGCCATAGGCGCAGAGGCAGGCTATGAAACCTCTTCTAGTAAGTTGACAAAGTACACTGCTGGCATCACTGTTAACAAACCAGATTCTAGTGCTTCCATAGTCCTGTAAGCAATCTCTCTTCAAAACCTTTCAACTTATATAAACATATATTTCCAATAATGGAACATAAATTAATTTTTCAGGGGTGATAAAGGAGACACGATAAGGGCATCATATATACACCACTTTGATGCATCAAAAAAGAATGCTGCTGTAGGGGAGATTACTAGAAGGTTCTCAACAAATGAAAACACATTCACTGTTGGAGGGTCTTATGCAGTTGATGGTTTAACCATGGTTAAGGCTAAACTCAACAACCATGGGAAGCTAGGTGCACTGTTGCAGCATGAGATTATTCCCAAGTCACTTGTCACCATATCTAGTGAGCTGGACACCAACTCCTTGGACAAAACTCCTAAGTTTGGTTTGGCTCTTGCTCTTAAACCTTGATAAAGTCTTCATGCTATGAGATATTGAGCTTCAACGTTATTGTTTTTTTTTTTTTTTTTTTTTTTTTTTTGTTTCTACTATTTTTATCTCCCTAGATGGTCTTCAAGGGAACATTTAATTAATAATATGTCCTAGGATACATTTTTTTTGGATCTGGGGTTTCATTATTTTCATGGATACATTGGGTTTCTAAATGTCTACACATATTTTTGTTATTGTTTCTAGTGTGGATTATAGTGAATTGTATTTTTGCTCTCTTTCCCTTTTAACAATTGGTATTTGCTACTTTTGATATTGTTGATTTTGTGGGGTATGGGAAGGTAACAAGGACACTTGCCAGATTATGCAGTCAACGAAACATGAGACTCGAGTCTGTTTTCATTATATTTATCATATTATGATTGTTGACAAAATATAAGAAATATAAGTTTCACCTTCTCGTGTGAATATACCTAGTCTTTTCACTTTCTTTCTCTCATGATATTATGATTGTTGACTCAGTTCCATGTTTTGAAAATGTTTTTTACTTAAATGAAAGTAGTTTTCTACAATCAAACGCATCATAAACTTATTACGCACTGTGTTTTGTTTTTGTTGAACGTGGTAAAAATGGTTTATGAGAAGAATATAGAAAAGTAAAATGATACACCTCTTCGATAAGCGTCCATTTAAAAAAGCACTTTTTATTCACTTCTTGGTGGCGACTCCTAAAGAAATAGGGCTATGTATTGCCAATAAAACAAATGGAATTAAATAAAAGATTTGTGAGCTAGTTACATGAGATGAAATCCTCAACCAGTTGTCTCAAACTTGCCAATGATGAACCACCTTCTTCCAATGCCATTCGGCTCCTACCTTTCATCTCCATCACCTTTGCTCGAACCTCACTATCTCCATCCATCACTTCTCTTATTCCCTTCTCAATCTCTTCAGCCAAAATCAATCTCTGATTCTTATTCAGTTGGTTATAATCCAATGAAATATCAACCCCCAATCCCAATTCTTTAACCAACTGATACGCATCCAACTGCTGTTCAGCGTATATCGGCCACGTGGCAATTGGAACTCCATACCACAGACTCTCCAACACAGAGTTCCACCCACAGTGGGATACAAACCCACCAACCGCCACGTCAGCAAGTACCGCTGTTTGTGGGACCCACCCGACAACTCTACCCCTGCCAGCTGTACGCTCTAGAAACCCTTCTGGTAGGACCTCGTTATAGTCTGAGTCTGTGTACTCCCCCGGAAACCCTTTTTGGGCCTCAGATGGAGGTCGACGTAGGGACCATATGAACCGGTATCCACTCCTCTCTATTGCAATTGCTATTTCTCTCACTTGGTCCACATCGAACCATCCCCTGGACCCGAAACATAGTAGCACAACCGTTGACTTTGGTTGACTTTTCAACCACTTCAACACCTCGTTATTTGGAGTATGTTTTTCGGGCTTTATCATTGGGCCCACGGTGTAAACACGAGGTGTTTTGTCATCATAAGAAAGGAGAGCGTGAGGTTCCAACTCTTGAAACGTATTTACGATAATACCCTTGGCTTCCTTATACTTTCGGGTGTAACGAATAAACCTCTTGGACCAGAAGTCCTTGTTTACAAGTACAAAAGGCAACACGCTTGGAGGAACTGGGTTGGCGTAACTCGGGATTGTTAACTCGGTTCCCGAGTTTGCCAACTCGGATACATCCTGACCATGTTCATCATCAAGAATCTGAAAATACAACATAATCCCAAGAAAAGCCGCGTTTGAGGTGAAGAAGATGTAGGTGGGTACGCCAAATTCCTTTCCAACATCGATCATTGGTGTGCAAAACATGTCAACAACCAATGCACAGAGCCGAGATGTTCGGTGGGACCCATTGAACCGGTTACCGATGACTTCTGTTATGATAGGCTTATGGCGTTCAATGACTGCATCCGCCATGAAGCCGATGGTTGGGCAGTCTGTGAATGAATCGAGATCCATAGGAGGGAAATGGATGAATTTGATTCGATCGTGGTCTTTAGAATCGAGGGAGTCGGTGTAATCGGTGCCAATTAGGTCTCCGGGAAGCTTCATGATGAGTAGAGTAATGGTGAGATGGTGAAACTGGTTCACCATTAGTCTAGCCAGCTCCACCAGCTGGCCAGCATGTCCCATCAGAGGAGATGGTATAAATATCAACTCCAGTTTCTCCATTGGAGATGATGATAAGTCTGTAGATTTTGGCTGATATTTATGGAGACTAGGGCAATTTTTATAAAAAAAATAGAGGTTAGGTATTATGTCTTTTCTTGTCTTCTTCGATGTCTGTTATATGCATTATTTATTGGTCCCATAATCATAGATTGTTTTTAGTAAACATCAATGTATTTTTATTCATTCAATATGGTAAAACTAATGAAGTCGCTTTCCTTATAAGAATAAAGGATAGGAAAGTGACTAAATAGATAGTTGAAGCTAACAAGTTAAGATTAGAGGCGAAATCAGTTGTTATTTCACCAGGCCGGCCGCGAGATTTCGGAGGCCCTGTGCAACTTAACCAAAAATATGCTCTAAAATTTGAAATATATAAAAATTTAAGCAAAACAATTATACTATTTCATGTTCTATTACAAAAATACATAAATTACAATTTTGATTCAAAATAATACATACTTTTTTTCTTCTACTTGAAACAACCATCCTTCTAATATTACTCAACTTTTCGATAATATCATTCTAATATTTAAGCAAGTTTTAACATTTATGCAGTCTACATATCTGTAACAAAAAATCAGAAAGAATCATAAAGAAAAATGGGCAATTAGAATGCTATATTACACAATCTGTAGACTGAAAGTCTCATTTGCTTCTAATAAAAAAATAGAAATCAAAAATTTATCTTCTGATTTTCAACACTTCAAACAACTTAGCATCAAAAACTTCGAACCCTTGAAATTGGACTGATAGATATTATTTCTGAATTGAAGAAAACAGGAACATAAATTCAGTAAAAAAAATATGGATTGATATATTTTGCTGCTGGAAGTCTGATTTCCTTTAGTTTCAAATTCTGATTTCTTCTTTTGAAACAAATATGAACTCAAGAAAAAAGAAAAATAAATTCAAGAAAAAATATGAATTCAAGAAAAAAAAAACATAAATTATTACAATACAAAATATGTATCAGATAGATAAAAAAAAGTGTATAGTACCATCTGATTTTTGTCCATAAGAGGCTGAGACTTGAATTCTAATTTTCAGCACCTTCCTACCGATGATTGAAGGATTTTTTTTCCTTATCATTTAGAAGATTTATGAAATAAAGAAGTAAAAACTCAATGGGTCTGAAATGTTTCAGATGTTCGAAGATTGAAGGTTTTCATTTGAATGATTTTTCTGATTTCCAGCAAAGAATGAAAGAAGGAAACCATTGCCAAGGAGCTCAACGGGTGATTCGCTCAATCGATGGCATCATTAACTTGTTCCTCATACTTAAATCGTAATCACTATCACCGAGATTGAAGGAACCTAAGCGTCATTTTCTTCCCCAAAAACTTCTGATTCCCGCTTATTTTCTCGCTTGCATCGTTCCGTTTTTCCACCTGATACATAACCTAAGCTGATACAAAGGCCAAGGAATATTTGGGCCCCTAGATTTCAGTGGGCCCTGTTCAAAGGCACACTTTGAACATGCCTTGGGCCGGCCCTGATTTTCACGCTGCATTTGTATTGTCTATTGTGTTTACATGTACTTGAAAATATCTACCTTTTTGTGTGAATTTATGGAGTGTTTGTTTTCATGGGGCACATTAGTTCAATTCCCTTTCAACCCATTTCAAAAACCATAACTCTGCTAAACGCAATTTTTATTTATTCTTTTGAAGGAATTCAAGAACCACGTGAAACTAGTTTAATGTGCATCAGATAGAGAGACCGCTGTACTTTTTGTTTTCTTTCAAATTGTGCATGACATTGCAACGTAAAGATGTGAAAGTACTTGTGTGTTGAGAATTGTGCATCCGACACAATGTCTTTTTTTTATCGTAAATTATTTAATAACTGTTTTTATCCGGTATTAGACCAAGGAGAGTGGCTACGGTAGAGGCCGTACCACCTCTGCCACATCATCATAAACTCCGCCCCTTTACCGCGGTTTGGGTGCGGTGGAGGCCGCACTACGGTACCGCAAGGGAGCGTTTCTCTCTTCCGATTTTCATTCCAATTGACTGTTGAACGGTCGGATTTTAAAAAATAACGTTTTTTTTTTTTTTTTTTTTTTTTTTTTTTTTTTTTTTTTAACCTTTAAACATTTCTGTTTAAACATCTCAAATCTTTACAATTTTTTTTATCTTTCTACTACATTTTCCTTTCAAAAAAATTAAGAAATGTCGTCGTTCTATTCTTCTGAAGACTTTGATGTTATGTTTGATGTTGTTGTCGCCGTTGCTAAATTGGCAGAGCAAACGTATGAAGCTGCATGCAATAGTGCAGTCGGAAGTGCTGAACGGTGAACCCGAATATGATATATTTATAGAAATCGTGAAGAAGCAAACCAACGCTTGATACAATACTACTTTCAAGAGAATGTCACTTTTTCAAGGGTACTACTTCCAAAGGCGTTTCGGAATGTGCAAACCTTTTTACGAACGTATAGTCGAAGATCTAATGAGAGAGTGTGATTTTTTCCAACAACGTCCCGATGCTAGAGGTACACCCAGTTTCACTCCTTTACAAAAATACAAAAATGCACCTGATGCATTGGATGAGAGTTTTAAGATGTCCTCTAGGATTGCACGAGATAGTCTCCATTATTTTTGCAAAACTATTATTCAGCTTTATGGACCAAAATATTTACGTAAGCCTACACGTAATGACATCATCAAATTGCAATCTCATCATGCTAGCGTATATGATTTTCTTGGAATGTTAGGAAGTTTAGATTGTCTACATTGGGCATGAGAAAATTGCCCTACCTTACACCATGATCAATTTACCCGAGGTGATCATGGTCATCCAACGGTCATACTTGAATCGGTGACATCACAGGATCTGTAGATTTGACATGCTTTTTTTGGTTCTCCTGGTTCGCTTAACGACATTAACGTTCTTAATCGTTCACCTATATTTAACAACATATACGACGGATCTGCACTGAATTCTTCTTTCCAATTGCGTGAAACACCATATAAATATGGTTATTATCTAGTTAATGGGATCTATCATGAGTATGCAGTTTTTGTTAAATCGTTTACGTGTCCACATGATACTCGATGGAAAAAATTCAAGAAAGCTCAAGAAAGAGCTAGGAAGGATATCGAGCGGGTTTTTGGATCTCTCGAGAAACATTGGTTCATATTGAAAAAACCAGCAATTTTTTTCAGCGAGGAAAAATGCAGGAAGTCATGTATGCACGTATACTACTGCATAATATGATTATCGAAGACGAAGGAAAAGTGATATGTGATTATGATGAGCAGGAAACCATCCCCGAGACACAAGCAATAGAAATTGGTGACGACGAGTATACGAAAAAGAGACTAGAGGTCCGTTCCAATGAAACATTTCACAATATTTGTATGGACTTGGTGGAACACATTTACGAGATTCAACACATTAACCTCAATTCGATCCCCCGGATGACCCAAAAGACGAGTTCTCGGAGGACGATTTCATATAGTTCGTTTGAGTTTATTATTATTATTTTTTAATTTTTTACTTTTTTTTCTAAGTTTTAGGTTTTTTAATGTGATGTTTTTTTGTTTTAACTGACGCAATGTAATGAGTTTTTTTAATTAATGAAATATTTTGTTTTTGATTAAAAAAAATTAATTATTAAAAAACAAACAAACAAACAAACAAATTAAGTGTGGCACCACACCATGGGTGTGACATGAAACCACACTTTTGTGGTAATTGTTGATATGTCGCCTACGTGACACTGCAATTTTATGAGGGAGTGACACCACTCCCTCCAACCTTATACACAATAAATGAAACTAAATAAAAGGAAAAAAAATCCATGGGAAGTCATTGAACGTACATAACTTGTTCATGGTGTATATATATATATATATATATATATATATATATATATATATATATATATATATATATATATATAGAGAGAGAGAGAGAGAGAGATAGGTTCAGGTGTTTTAAGTAAGTATTGTGTTATTGTATGCATAAATGTGGGCCAATCAAAATTTAAAATAAAAATAAATAAATAAATAAATAAATAAGGGTAAATAGGTAATTTGATAATTAGTTTCCACAAATAATATCCTATAATTATGGTAATTATTGACTTCGGCTAGTAGGCTTTTTAAAACCACCGTAACCCTAATCAAACCATCTCCAGCTGTTACCTTCATCCTTATGCCTCCCACCACCGGCCGCCACCCTACCCTTTCCCTCTCTCGATTCCAGTCGCACGCAAAACACACACACAATCCACCCACACCCATTTCATTTTCACTTTCACACACTCCTTTTGTAAAACGTAACTTCTCTTTCCCCAATTTACCCCTACATTCAATCTCTCATGGCGGAGGATCGGAGACGCCATGAACAACCTACTAACTCCGGTAGAAGGAGCCTGAAGAGGAAGCTGGAGGACGAATTAATCGTAGATCATAAGATTTCTTCTACAGACGCCGTTTCTCAACAAGATCTATTATATGAAATTCGTGCTCAGGTTGAAGTACTCGATTCTACTTTCTCATCGAGTGAAGCAAATCGTGCCCTAGTCAAACGCTCACTTCACGCCCTCTCCGAGTTCGCAAAGAACGGTTTGGATTTTTCTTATTGAGTTTTGTTTTTCAACTTTCTGTAGCGTAATTTGATTTGATTTCGTTTGTGAACTTGATCGTTGAATCTGGTGCTGTTCCAGCCCTAGTACGACATCTTCAAGCGCCACAGTCACCAAAAGAGGTTGTTACTGGCACAATACCGTATGAACATGAGGTGGAAAAAGGAAGTGCTTTTACTCTTGGACTTCTTGCAATTAAGGTAGGTACTCATTTGAATTACATAACCTTGTCAATTAAAATAAAGGAGAATCCAAAAGATTATATTTGATAAATTACTGTTATTAATGGCGATAGATTGTTTCCTCTTGAATCCGTTCACAAACAATTTCTGAACACTTTCAAAAACCTTCCCAATGTTTTAACAGCCTGAGCATCAACAACGCATAGTGGATGCTGGAGCCTTAC